GAGGAGCGTCGGTAGCCCCCCCAATTGCTGGGGGAGTCCCCCGTGTCGTTCTCGCTATCTGCTGACTCGGTGGCATCGCTCTCCTCCCCGGCCACCTCCTCGCCCTGCCCCCCGTGCCCGTCGTGGCGGGGAGGGGAGGGCTCTGAGGGGAGGCTGGCAGCTGCTTCGGCCTCCAAGTCGATGAGGTTCCCCACGGGCACGTCCACGGGGGCTTCCATGGTTCTCCCCGAGGGGCTGGGGGTGTTAGGGGGTGTCGCTCCTGGTTCTCTGGTCCCTCACTGGGGGGTCGAAGCCATCGCGTGGGGGATGCCTGGGAGGATGAGCTGGCTAAGGCAGGCAGGCCCTTCTGCAGGGGGGTGGGTTACTGCAGGACATCTGAAAGAGAGGGGGGTGACAAGAGTGAGGACAGAGCCCCAAGGAACCTCTACCACGGACCTCGGGCAAGGAGACCACAGGTCCCCACCTGTGATATCCCCAGGATGCTCAGTAGCAGCAGGAGGGAGAGGACAGGGATGCTCCAGGCAGACAGGGCTGGCTGCTCTCCATCAGCCACGTGAATAAGCAAACCCAGGCAGTGCTCGTGTGCTTTCTGCACTGCTCAAGTGGGGCTTTCAGCCTTTAACCCACCAAAGGGACAATTTGAGCCCAAACTGCCACACGTGGGATGTGACATCTCGCAGCCTGACGGGCAAAACTGGGCCAGCGTGAGCCAGCAGCTGGCAAACACACTGGTGATTTTCCAATCCTCCTCTCTGCTCATGGGTCTGCCTGACCCCCTTTGGAAAAGGGACCACTCTGGGGTGCAGCATCCCAGTATAAACCACACAAACTGGGACTGGGAAGGGGATGCTGAACACAACCAGCGCTGTGATGGGATGCAGGCACAGGGCTTGGACTGTGAATGGCTCAGTTTTGGCACCCAGTCCAGATTTCAAAGGCCAAATGGTAAAGAAGGGGCTGCCCTGAAGCTGCTTCTTCATCAGAGCATTGCTCATGTCCTCGGGGAGCATGGTTTTGCCCCCGGGAGGTGGCAAGTGGTGCCTTCTGAGAAGCAAGCCCAGTACGAATTGCAGCAGCCAGGCACAGGGCCAGCGTGGGGCAAGGCAGCTCAGCGGGCACAGGAGCTGGCACAGCAGCCCAGGCAGGGCAGGGACAACCCTGGGACAACGTGGTGGCAGCACTGCCCCAGCCCCACTGTCTTCCAGGGATTAGAGGACACAGGCAATTATACCCAGAGGGAAAAAAAGACCCAAACCAGATTTCTTTCAACAAAAAGAGTAGCGTTCCCCAAAGGATCAATCTCCAGCTCAGCATCATTTAATAGCTGGACTTAATGATGTCAAAGGTCTCTTCCAACCAAAAGGGTCCTATAATTCTATGATCAGACAAAAAGGAGTTTGAAATGAAACTGAATCTGAAGTGTTTCATCAAGCAGAGCACACTGATGGGAAAATAACCCATTGGCTGCAGGGGAAGCAGCTCTTCCAGTGCTGTCCTTCTCCTCCCTGGGGCCCCTTTGGGTCAGCGGGGTGCTGGGACCCACAGGACAGAGAGGGAGGCACGTTCTGCATCCTTCTTGAGCATCAGACAGCTCATCCCCCCAGCTGGGAAAAGCCCCTGTCAGCCAGGTCCGCAGGGCTGAGGGGCAGCAGGGACAGAAAGGGAAGGGGGGTGACAGAAACTCCTGCACCCACACCCTCCCTGCTCTGCCAGCACCCACCTCTCCCTCCCCCCCTCACACCGAACCCCAGCACACACCTAAACCCGGCTCCTGAGAGAGCTGCAGGGAGCCTGGGAATGGGAATGTCTCTCTGGGACACTGCTGCAGCCAGCCAGAGCTCCGGGAGAGGCGCCGAGAGGCTGCGGCACAGGAGGGCTGGGCAGTGGGCCAGGGGGACCCAGCCAGCTGCAACCAGCTCAGCCCCCCGGGCAGCCTGACCTCCTCCAACCAGCCCTTCCAGCTGCAGGGACCACACTGTGCTCCATCCATCCATCCATCCATCCATCCATCTGCCCATCCATCCATCCATCCACCCATCCATCCCTCCCTCCATCCAGCCTGCCCTTGGGCTCCCACCCACCCCATGCAGAAGCTGCCCCAACCAACACGCTGCTTAGAAGCAAGATGTAGCCAAAATTAGGGAGTTCTAGCTCTGGAAAAAAAAACCAAGTAGAAATGAAGATGCTTTTCTCAGACATCTCAGGCTCTGGGCAGCTCTGTCCTGCCCCAAAAACCCAGCAGCAGAGGGAAGAGGCAGCCACGTCCAGGAGCAAGCACTTCTCCAGACATCAGCAGCAGGAGAACAGGACGGTGTGGGGGCACTGGTGGCTCCTGGCTCAGCCCATGCCCAGGAGGGACAGAGAGGGACCTCTAAGCACTCTGCCAGATGTGCCCAATTGCTGCCCGACCAGCCATCACCCTCTGGTCATCGATAAAGCCGCCCTTGAGTGAAGGCTACAGAGGCTATTTTGGGGTGCTGGCAGGTGCTGTGGGCACTCAGGCTTCCCACAGCCTCCAAAGTTCTCAGCACAGAGCCCAGAAGAGCTTCAAAACCAGAGAAGCCTCTGACTCAGGCCTGCAGCCACTCCACAAGCCAGTCCAGCTCCAGCAGAACAAATCCAGGCAAAGAACGTGAACCAAGAGCCCTGAGCACTCAGCTCCATCCACACGTGGAGATCAGCCCAGCTGCACGTCCCACCAGTGCCTGGGGGGGTCCCACTCCTGGCTGGGTTGAATCTGAGAGGGAACAAGGGCTGTGGAACAAAAAAGGATTTCCTGGCTGCTCAGGAGCCTCACTACCTCATGAGCTTCAGCCTCTTTTGGGTCCTGCTGACCCTGTGTTCTCTGTGGGCAGCTGGCATACAACAAATCCACGTCATCCTCCTCCCACCATGGCCCCGGGGGACAGGACCCACCCCCTGGTCTAAGTTTGCAGCTGAAATCCTCCTCCTCACAAAGCCTGGGGAAATGACACATGGGGTGCTGAGGTTGGGGACGCTGCAGGACCTCAGCCATCCCCCCCCTGGGAAGCAGGATCCAATCCCAGTTTGCTGTGCTGGAACTCCCACTGGGGAGCAGGACTGAGGCAGTGCGTGGCCCAGCTCTCCTCGCTCCTGCCATGGAGCTGGATGTCCCCAGAGCTGGGTGACAAACTCAGCTAATTCTCATTATCAGCTCAGGCCGTGGGTGACATCCTGCCTGATGACAGCACTCGAACCCTCGCTCTCATCTGCCTCCTGCATGGAGATGTTTCTCCAGCCTGGAGCTGTCAGGGACGATTAAAAACTGTAATTAAAGTGAAGAAACCTCTAGCTGTCTCCTCAGAGCTACAAGAGCACCCCCCTCCCATCCCTCTGCTCCCTGGGTGCTGGGGTGGCACCCAAAACATCACGCCAGGGCTCTGAAAGCCCCTGGGGACATTCAGCCTATTTACATCCCCCACTAGAGATGCTGCTCCGGGGAAGGGGAAGAGTCACAAGGAAATATTCTTGGAGGACACAGCTTGGCAGCCCAGAGGGGACACGGGGATTCACTGCTGCCAGAGGGATGGGACAAAATGCCATCCCTCAGGGCTGGCACTTCTCCACACTGCAGCCTGCCACGGAGAGCCACGTTTGCCTCAGCCACCTTCTGCAAGAGCATATCCAGGTCCCTGCTAGCCCCTGGCTTTCACCCACCACGGGCTCCAACGTGGGCACGTCGTTTGCACTGCAGCCACTTCTCCAGTACCAGGAGGACCACGCAGCCACCCACCTCCAGAGCACCCACGGGTCCCTCCTGGCAAAGCACCTCAGTCAGAGGTGCCCCAGCGGGCGCTGAGCCAACTTGGCAGGGCTCTGCAGAGGCCTCGTGGGTAAAGCTTTGTTCCTTGCCAAGGAAAACTCCCTGTGCTGTAAGGGAACAGCCTGTTTCCTCCGGGGGAACTGGTCAGTCTTGTTCCCTGTGTCCCTCCCACAGCGAGAACACCCTGGTGGAAAGGTCACAGCTGGGGGGACACGGCCTCATCGAGCCCTGGATCTCTCAAAGCACCCTGAATCCAGAGGCACGGCACCTACCTCTGCTCCCAAAGTGCCCCTCCAACCCTGAGCTGCACAGACCTTGTTTAAACAAGCCCTGGGACCCCGGGAAGCTGTGAGTCCCCCCTGCTGGGTTTGCCCAGCCGTGATCTCCTCAGCTGCCTGTGCTGGCAGCTGGGACCCGCTCCCGTGGCTGCCCATCCACCCCCAAGGCACATCGTGCTCCCCCCGACTGCCCAGCTGCCCCACGGCTCAGGAGAAGCTCCAGCCTGGCAACCTAATAAAAATAATTCCCCGAATATCAGGGGGTGAGCTGAGCCCTGCCGAGCAGAGACCGCACGCACTCGGTGCATGCCAGGACCAGCACCCAGCTGGGATCCCTGCAGCCAGAGTCCCAGCCTGGATTTTGGCAGGTGATGGGGACTCCCCCTTGGTCCTTTGTCTCTCCTCCCCAGCTGCAGCTCTTCCCCTGGCCCCAGCCCCCCAAAGCCAGCAGTAACCCCCCTCCCAGGAGCTGTTTCACACCCATCTGAAGCCCGGCAAGCTCCCAACTTGCCCCAGCTTTGCAAAGAGCCCTTTCTTCCCGCTGCCCTCAGACAGCAGATGGCAGCTCCCCGTTCTCCTGGACTTCAGAAGAGAATTAAACGTCTCTTCCCTAGACCTGTGCTGTGTAAGACCAGCTTCTGTGCCGAGCAGCAGCTTCCCCTTTAACGCTCGCCAATAGCCCAGCTTTCACCAGCTCCCCCCGTGCCACGCACACACCTCCCCAGGGAGCCCCAAAATGGAGCTATTTATTCTGCAATTCCTCTTTTCACCCGGCAAAATTTCACCTGGGGTCCCCGTAGTTTGGAAGTGAGCTCCCCAAGAGGCACGAGAGGGTTTCCCCTGCCCCGAACACACTCAGCCCCCCCTCTCCCCCGGGAGATGCTGCCCCCAGCCCCCACTGCTGGGGTTGTGGGTAAATCATAAGTGGCAGCGCAGCCAAAGACTTCTGCTGATGGAGTCCATGGTCCCACGGAGCACCCAGGGACCCTCCATCCTGCCCAGGGACCCTGCATTTTACCCAGGGGCCCTCCATCCGGCCCAGCG